TAAAGTGTACACGCAGGGAGTTTAATCATGATCAGGATGGCGGTTTAGATTAAACAAACGGAGGTTAATGATTGGCCACTGTTTGTACGGTCGCACCTCCCAATCCTGGCGTGCAGTGTCCCACAAGACATTACCAGCCCTGGGAAATACCACAAATCTAGTTGTAATCACATCATTCAATCTTTCTAAGCACCTGCATTTATCCTTTGGTAATTTCAATGTTTGGTGCACCAAATTTTCCGTGGCTCAGATTCCGTCGCTGCCTATATTGACAGCTCTCTCATTGTCAGCTCCAATCCTGAGGAACCCATACAATATCTACTGTAAGTGTTTAAACTCCTGGAACAAGACAGAATCGTCATCAACTTCTTTTAGTGTATATTTGTCAAACATACTCGATTTCCTTGGCCATCAATTTGTCATCGTTAATATTAAATTCTTTATTGAGACAGTCCTGCCAATCACTACTTGCCCTATTTCTACATATCTAAAAAGGTTTTATCATATCCTTTTTATGGTAAGGGTTATCCCCGGCTGTACTCCAATTATGTTTCCTTTCGCAGATCAGATTATAGTTAGCCCGAAGAACTTCAGTATGCCGACAAAATCAGAATCAATGTTTACTGAAGGGAAACATTGTAATCAAAGCAACAAAATCAACTTATGTCGACATTCTCAGTTGAACTCGGACTGTCCAAAAGATAGATTCATTTCAACTTCTGCAACAGTTTGTCAATGATCAAATTCAACCGCAATCCTTCTCGAGGAAACTAACGTCCACAGAGGCAAGAAGCAGAACATTTGGTTGAGAACTGCCCCCTATCTACTTAACAGTCAGAAGCCTTTCCGATAGCTTGGAAGGAAGCAAATTCATCCTTTTCACCTACCAAAAACCACCAAATCATCGTGGTAATCGAAGGGTTGATCAAAGGAAATCTATGTAAGCTAGAGCATTCTGGTAGGTTTGGTGCGCCACTCATCCCTTAACAAGCAAGGGTACATGTGTGATGAAAACTCTCAGTCAATCGGCAATCAGTAGATATTGCAATGTATGGCAACAAAAATTATTTTAAGTGACTGATTCTTGCCAGAATTCGTCATATTTACAATTAACTCCATTCATTCTATATGTTCTGAGTTCTTGCTACTGTTGATGTACCTTAGCTACCTTTGGACGTCATATAACAGAGATTTTTCACTGGTCCGCATTTGGCTGAACTTCCTTGGACATTGCTAAGATTTAGCCAGGGCATCTTATCCAGTATCTGCCATGTAATCTTTTAACTAATGCTGTAGTTTGAGAGCATTATCTTTTGTTTTTCCACGAGTTAATCTTACGTACAGTTTTATATTCGTCACCACGGGGTGTACGATAGACTTACCTCCACGTGATGCACCCTGGGCAACGTATATTCATACGGCAAAAAAGTCTATTGACTGGCAGTTGACTTCTCACTTCAAACTACCATGACCCCACTGTATATCATATTCGACTACTTTCGCAGTACTCACCTCACCTTTTTCCTACCATTTCTCCCTTCGTCTTTGAAGCACTCTTCTGTTCCCCCTTCCTCAATCTCGAATTTTTCACTTTGATGTTCCTTACACTCTGTGGAGTCTCAAGTCAACTAAAGGGCTATTGATAACCATCAAGACGCCTGCCATTTGATATTAATATTCGTCATCACTAGGTGCGCAATAGATTTTCCTCCACGTGGTGCCATTGGGCAAACGTGTACTCATATGGCAATAAAATCTATAAACTGGCAGTTGACTTCTGACTTTAAACTACCATGACCCCATTGTGTCATATTCGACCACTTCCACAGTACTCACCTTACCCTTTTCTCTACCTTTGTGTCTGTCTGTCTGTCTCTTTTACATCTATGAAACATTATTCTGTTAGCCTTCTCGAATTTTTCCCACTTTGATGTTCCTCCCCTCTGTGAAGCCCGAGGTCAGGTAAAGGACTAATGATAACTATCGAAACGCCTGCCATTTGATGAAAAAATCTTCGTCACCACAGGCGTAATACAAAATTAACGAATGGGACTAGGAAAGTGAAGAACACTTGATCGTTAATAATTCGCAAGTGAATTCCTTTGGCTGTCCCGCTTAACTGCAGGAAGAATAGAGATGAATTCGACAGTGTTGTTAAGGATTAAAGATACCTTCCAAATTCAATGGTTTCGGTTCAGGTCATAGCGTGGTCTTGCTTTTTATTGAAAGCTAAATCTCAGGTTATTTTTTTAATTTCACAATATATGTCAACTTAGTAAAATTCCATCTAAATTCTACAACAGTAGGCTTATTTCAAGAATATAATTGTATAGAAACCCCACTGAACCTCTACTTCAACAATGAACACAATTAGAATTTTATTTTATTGTCATGAAGAAGAGCACTTTTATCAACCCTTCACCATTGTATTCATTAATCGAGGCGAGAATATCAGTGTACTCGATCAATCTACGTTTATTGGACTAGATCTACCTTTTGGTATTGAATAAAATTATTAAAACTGCCATTTAATCAATTGTATCATTTCAACAAACGTAAGAAAAACTCTCCTTTTAGTAGCAATTTATTTCATTTCCCACACCGCGGTTTACTCACTTAATCTCAATCCGATACAAAACACGCACGCACATACTTGTACAAGCACGCACCTTTTGCCCTCTTATATGGATGTCATGATTTAGGTCCCATTTCTTCCGCCATTTTCTACACCCTATCAATACGTGCGTAAGTGTAGTACTCTCCCAGATCCGCTTTCGATCTCCCGATTCTCATTGAGCTTCTATAAGCTTCTTTCTCCGCGAATCCTCCCACTCAGATTCCGCAGCCCCTTTCTACTTTCCTCTACTTTATATTCAACTTTCGCAGTCCTCTCTTTGATACTGACGCTTTTCCAAGTTTTATTAAAGTTCTGCTGCTACTGCTTATTCTGTCTACGAAAATTCAGATTTAATATCTATTAAAATATTTCCTATGATTTGCAAATTTCGGTAATAAACTAACTAGCACTTTATTGACGTAATGATATAGCAATTGAAATTAATTTTAAAACCGAGGTCCGATACTGAGTTCCGGTTCCAAAAGCTTAAATGCTGAACCAAGGGGTTCCAATAGTGAGTTTTGAAGCGCGACCCATAACTGCGTTTAGGTAGACTCAAAAAAGGTGCTGTTTTTTTCATGAACAAATGGATCTCTATTCCGCAAGCTAAGAAGAATCATGTATGGTGTCAAGACTCCAGTTTTTGAATGTCCAAAGTTTAGTATCTAAATTTCATCCCTAGATTTCAATCTTAGTCTCTTCAAAGAACCTTTTGAGAAAGTTTATCCAAAATAAATACACTTAAATGAACTATCACATTAAAGTTATTATTATCACAACTGAAATATAATTTGGTGTGAGAAAAATATTGCATTAAATACTTACACGTGAAAAAAAATTAATAAGAAATAATATCGTTATTTATGTTTATGATGCTTCCTTTATCTTTCTAATATTAGCCTGTGGGACATGTTATCGCTGTGTGCGTCATCGTATGCCTGCATGCCAGGATTGGGAGGTGCGGCCGTACAACTCTGTGTGCAGCGACCGTACAAACAGTGACCAATCATTAACCTCTATTTGTTTAACCTAATCCCCCATCCTGATCATGAGTAGCTCCCTGCGCGTACACTTGATCCGCAATATACGTCCTGAATAAACGTGCTGCGTGCTGCATGTCTGTTTCCTTTATAGCTGACCTATGGCTTAGCTAGTTCTGGGAGTCTAGCTAGATGTTGGAGAATCTGCCATAGAGATTTCTGAGTCAGTCAGGCTTTACTAAGGTGTTTAGCTGGTTCTGGGAGTCTAGCTAGATGTAGGAGGATCTCCCATTGAGATTTCTGAGTCAGTCAGGCTTTACTAGCGTAGCCAGAGATTTCTGAGTCAGTCAGGCTTTACTAAGGTAGCAATCCGCTACAAGCCCTATTGTAGAGCTCAAGGTAACAATTAAATTTCATTTTAATTGAATGGAATCTCTCTCTCCCTCTAAAACATTGGTATCGGAAATGGTGGGTTGTAAATTAGTATAAATACGTATAAACTGAAGACATAGTGAATCAACTACCCAGTTTAATTTTAAAAGACTGGCAAGTCTGTGATACATAATCATCTTCGTATGGTATCTTGATTAACAGATACTTTACCAAAACGGTTTGAGTTAATCCTTGACTTACCCTAGATAATAAATGAATAAAGTGTAATAAACCAGCCAATAATTTGGAAGTTGGTGTTTCCTGACTAAACTGGAAGAAGTCTTGGCTATTCAAACATGAAATCTGAAAAAAGTCTCGGTCAGTGAATGCTGCGAACATATAGTAATATATGGAGTTTTTATTTTCTCTCAACTTTTTGATCAATCGCAATAAAAATAACATAGTGGCATAAAAGAAAGTTAATTTTGGAAGGCTTCCTGAAGCAGTTTTAGAGCCCCGATGTTCTCTGGGTATTTTGGAGGCTGGTCTTCGGGACATTACTGGGGAATCCTGTAAGACTCCCTCTTGGAGATGAAACCGAAGCGTGACGCACAATTTTGATGGGATTTTGAACAGTCTCCTTCATGGCGTCAAGAATATTTTCAAAACCGACGTTCGCCTTGGAGGAACACTCAAAATAACTAACAGCCCCAATGCTTTCAGCCAAATCTGAACACTAAAACAAAGTATAAAATTGGCGCTAAAGCATTATAATATGAATCGATTAATTGAATCCTTGAATGGTAATTTATTTCGTAAGTGAGCTGTTATGGATGACCGTTTTTAAGTACTCGGTAAACAACAGAAACCTCAATTAATTAAATGCCTCTTATCTGTGTGTGTGGGGCCAAGAAGACGGAAGTCAGTTCGCCTGTATACATAGTGAGCCGATTGGGAAAGCCAAAAGGAGGCCATTTCTGGCTGTAATTGCTAACCGTATTTACAAATATCCTGCACTTTAACCCCTACTGACTATTTCCCATTAAAAGCTTTCTTTAACCTGTAGTTCCTTCACTTGATTTTTACCTACGACAATTTGCTTATCTTCAGCATTTATAATCTAATTTTTTGCGGGTTACTCTATGTCAAAATATTATTATTATGCCCTCTTCTAACTATTTATTGTTCTCTCCCGCCATTAATAGTGATCCTCATGCATCGATGTTCAGTGATATTAACATTTGACAGCTACTCAAATAACTAAATACATATTCAAATGCATTCATTAGATATATTGAAAGTTATGTTTTAACTAATTTTATTCTAGAATCAATTTGAGCAAAAATTTATTTTTTTATATTCAGCATATGTGAGGTTTAAATTATTAAAATTAAATAAAACAAACCTGATCTATTGTTGGCATTTCGAGTCCCTTTGACCTAAGTTCCTTATTAATCGACTCATCGGCCCTAAGGTCGTTTTGTAGACCAATTAGAAAAAGAACAGCATTTTTCGGTCCGTTTTCGCGTACCTCCTTGAGCCATTTGCTGCGGATGTGTTCAAAAGACTCCACAATTGCAACAGAAAAGCAAATAGCAAAGATGTGCGCATTCTGGTAGGCCAAAAAACGTATTTTTTCCAGGTTATGAGCTCCTACAATTTGACTCACTTTTAGTCTTTGTAAAAATAAAAGCATTTGAATAAATTGGAAGTAAAATATCGGCACTTTATCGCCTAATTTCATTTGCCTGTTAGTGAATGTTTGAAGATTCCACTAGGCCAAACTGCCATGACCACACATTCCAATTTTCAATCATCTCCGTGTACTATGGATGGGAGCTCATCAAAAAAGCACCAGATATCATATTACGAAAAATCGGATTCAAAACATTTAGATTTTTCATAAAGAACTATACCACATGAGGTAGCTGACTACTCAGTCTTATCAGAAAAGAAAACATCGATTAGTTGCACCAAATCCAACTCCTCTTTCACCTCTTACTGTGCCACTTTGCAATTTTACATAACCACAGCTATCTCAAGAAAAAAGGATTGTTTCACTCTGTCATATGTAAGATTAATAAGGAGTGGGATGAGTGAATGTGACTAGGAGACCTGGTCATCCATTTCATTGTGACTAGAACTAGTAATAATATGCAATGCGTGAATATGAGTGTCAGTAAAAGTGTGAAAGCCAGCCATCGCAAAGACATCTGATGCACCAATTACCAGTCTCTTTAGTAAGAGAAGCAAATTAGGTGAATTGCAAGTTCTATTAGCGAAAAACTCAGTGCTAATTTATTATGGCGCAATAATAATGGAGTTTGAATACGTAGGAGGCTCTAACAGGAATGCTCGATTTATAATGAGAACGTATTTAAAACAAACATTAGATTCTCATGGCAATTGTCAGGTCAAATAAATCACTAAATTCGATACAAGGAGGGAAGAACAATAATCTCTTCAAACTGGAATGAATTCTATGTTTTTAATTACCAAACAGCAAGTGCTAGTGGAATATTTTTGCAGAGTTGAATTAAATGAATCTCACTTTTACCTTCACTTAATTATGGAAAGTGAATTGGTGAAAAGCTTCCTGGGACTTGGTATTTTAGAACATGCCGAAATAATTGTGACACTTCAGTCAGTCCTTCAGCTAATTTGGCAAATAGGTAGTTCGCATTAATAAAATAAAAACCTGACTATTCGTCCCTTGGATTGCAGTAAATACTACTCAATGACGCCCCCCAGTGCGTACTAACCAACCTTTAATAAATAAAATTTGGTCTTGGCACTTCTATTCATACATGGTACCCAGTACCTCTCATTTTTACCATAGAAGAGATGAAATAGGCAAAATTCTTAATCCTTTAAAAGTTTATATGTTACTCATTTGAACGCTCTAACGTTGCTCCCAACTTCTTTGATAATGTTCACTTTGCCATTTATATGATACTTAGCAAGCCGATCTCAGTGGTCTTTCAACCTGAAAATTCTATAATATTTGGCTTTAATTTGGGTAATGGTGATATAGATCATTATACGTTGTCACTTCAGCCGCAACCTTTCTTCCGCTGTCTGACAACGCTGAAGAAGTAGAATTGTCCAACCTTGCGCTTGAAAACCATGTACCTCATGTCTAAATAGCATTTCATACAAAACTTTGGTCTAAATAGATTAAATATACAGACGCATAGCAGTTAAATTTTTGTTTGAGTTCTGACTTAGCGACATTCTGCTGAGTTGTAGATCTGAAATTTGAGATAAGACACCATTCTACAAAATGGGTTAAATTTTATTTCTAATGATTAGTGGTTTTGCACAAATACAATGGCTGAAAAGATATTGCATAGAACACTCGGATTGATCAAAATGCTCACAATCATTTTTTGAACCTTACTACCATTACTGACGAAAATTACCTATCGCCAGAAAACGGTACTATTCTCTGTCTGCTACCCTTTAAGCGATCCATTCCAATTAATTTTATTTTTTGACAAATGAAATTAGAAGATCATCTGTAGTATTAGCACAACACACTTCGGACCCAACAGGGCTTCTATCTTACAGATATATCTAAGATTTTACTGATCATTTGCAAAGGAATTAAGGCCAATGAGCATTATCCCATCAAGTTGAATTAAAAGAACTGACTAACGGAGAGCTATATTAGACTCCCTATTGATATATAAATTGGATCACTCTAGTAAATTCAACTTATTTTTAGTCCTTTTTAAAAGTACAATAAATATTGCTATTCGATTAAAATCATTTCTTATGATAAGTTGCAGCATTTGCTAGATGTGCTCCCAATCAAAAATCTTTCTCAAGAAGTTTGCTTATACATTACTTATTAAAAAGATTGACCAGCTTGCATGAATATAGGACAAACTAAAAATTGTTTGAGAGGCGCTGCTTTAGGACTCATTACACAACCATAAGGAATGGGGCGTTACGTCACTGTGATACCAATTGTTTTAATGCATTTTTTCAGCTATGCACCAATTAAGAATGGTAGTAATAATATCGAATAAGCACCTGAATTGAATGCCACAAAATGTTTTATGAAATGGAATGGCAAGAATATACTGTTTTATGGAATAGCTTTTAAGAATAATGTGAGCATAGTGCTCATCCATTTGACGCTGTTCCATTTATCATTTTCTGGAATCAATGCCAAAGGGAATTCTGTGCGATCACTGTCAGGCTTATAAGAATGGTGGTTAAATGGACGTGATTGACCAGTAATTAATAAATGATACTTGCTTTCGCCTCTTCTTAAATAGAAAACCTTTATCTAGGTAAAAATTCATGCTCCTTAATGAACCAAACGTGCTCATTTACTGGTGGTAAAGTGCATTATTTAAAGTACCTTTTCTGACCTTATCGGAGTGAGGTTAAATCTAGGTTATCCCGATGCATATCATTTAATATTTAACATGTGCCTTTTGAGCGCAAATCGCAAAGACTTTAAAGAATCATAGTTACTTGGTATGCACATAATGTAAAGAGGCCGTTAAAAAACATTTGTGTGATGCTAGAAATTGATTAGTAGAAGGAAAGTCACGTTAAAACCATGGAACACCGAAATTTTTCAAATCCTAATGACCTTGTAAAAGAGGGAACTTGAGAAGTATTCAGAATCAGTAATATTTTTGGTGGATAAACCTTGCTTTGTATTGTGAATCTCCTATGTCCTTCGATTACATATTCAGAACTTATTCATTTAGTGGACAAATTATACATATTTAAGATATATATTTTTCCAATACAAAACTACGAATCCTTATTTAAAATGGGCAAACGGTAATATGTCACTTTCGCATTTGGATGCAATTTTTAAGCGTTAAAAACTAATGAGGGAGCCAGGTTAATAGCTATAATGAAAAATGTAATATATCAGTTATCTTACCTGGTGTGTCCCAGCAGTCAACGAGCATAAGATTCCCATCTTTCGTGGTTTTTACTGGTGCCATATCGACCAAAGTCGCTGAATACGTATTCCGAAACGGTTGGCCACATAGACGAGAAATGAAGCATGATTTGCCGACCCGCTCATCGCCAACTACAACACATTTTCCGATTAAAATATGATTCTCTTTGCATTCGGGTGTCTCCATTTTAGTTACTAATTGATAAGATTTCTGAAAACAGTAATAGCAAGCACCAAATGAAATATTATTGGTTTAGCAGGTAAGGCATGCTATGTTTAAATTGCATCGTTGCTATTGGCGATAACAGAGAGCACTATAGTTACCTGCTTTATTTCACCTGGTAAGGAAAAAGAACACGCTTTATGTATTGATCATTTATTTTTGCCTAGGAGATATATATATATATATATATATATATATATATATATTCTGTCCAAGTAGAATGAACGTGGCTACAAAATTATCTTATTCCCTTTTTCATAAGACCATAACTGTTAGCTAAGGAACTGGGAGAAGAGCAATGGGTCAAACAACGATATGCAGTACCTGAGCGGAATTGGACATGAGTAGATGGTTGGCTGTCTGCTAGCTACTAATAGCTACAGTAACAACTGTTTCGATTATGGGTCCAGTATTTAGGTGCGGTAAATTCAAGCAATTAATAGCCCTGCAAAAGACACATTAAGCTTGCGAGCTTGAATCGATTTCCTAAAAACGACTTTATTGAGATCGGGTGGGCGATAGACTTACCTCCACGTGGTGCACCCTGGGCAACGTATACTCATGCGGCAAAATGTCTATAAACAGGCAGATGACTTCTGACTTCAAGTTATCATGACCCCACTGTATGTCATATTCGACCCCTACCACAGTACTCACCTCACCTTTCATCTACCTTTGTGTCTGTCTCTTTTACATATTTAAAACACTCTTCTGTTCACCCCCCCCCCTCACGACTTTTTTCGATTTGATGTTCCTCTCCCTCTGTGACGCCTGAAGTCAACTAAAGGGCTAGTGATAACTATCATAAAGTCTGCCATTTGATATAAATAAACTTTGTTGAGATCATAATATCTTTGACTCAAACACCATTGCGTCTAACCAAGAGCCAAGTCACACATTTTTCCTACGGAGTGTTAGTTTTGTTGTCAGCTTCCTTCTTCAGCACTAAACAAGGGAGAATCCATCACATGGGATGAATTCTAAATGTCCTTCTATTTGATCGGCACCTCTGTTTACTCATATGTATTATCCTTTGCAGACAAGAGCAAGGACACCGAAGGATGCGTAACACTCATGCTAGGGGGAGGGGGGGGGCATGTACACATCAATAACTGAGCAGCACATGTAACCGATCAGCAGCTCTGGGCCCTGCAGAGGCAGGTAAATTACTTTTCATGCTAGTCAGGTTCAAATGAATCTCAAAATATAATTTTTAGATTCCCTTGGCCGATTAAGTTGGCAAGTAGGCCTTTCATTTCGTACTAAACGGAGATCGAATGAATATCCTCGATGGTCTACTGCGTGACAGCAGGCGATTGACGTATTAGTTAAACTGTCATTGAATATTAACAGCGCTGAAATCGAAAGTAGAACCATTGGTGATTATTGTTTGTAAGAAGCTAGCTGTTTCTTGATTAGTCTAAGCTTCTTTTTTAGGTACTCTGACATTTCAAGGAGGCTAAAGTAAGTGAAAGGAGAATGAAATTTATTTTGTCATTCTTTATAGCAGAGCATAGAAAACTTAAATACTTTCATCAGCACAAACTTACTGAAGGCATTGAAAATAAAAGTCCACAAAGAGGTACTTTGATCGATTTTCGGAGGGGACGTTCAGGCAGTAAAATGAAGGAGAAATATCCGAAAGAACTCTTCTCATCGGGGATCCAGAATAATCGGATCAACCGTTGGACCTCCTTCAGCCATATTGCTTTTCTTCATTGTCACCTTACTTTTCATACTGGAAACCTTGACGACCCATATTCGTGCTTCCATTTGCGAGGTGTGCGATAAACTTACCTCCACGTGGTGCACCCTGGGCAACGTATACTCATGCGGCAAAATGTCTATAAACAGGCAGATGACTTCTGACTTCAAGTTATCATGACCCCACTGTATGTCATATTCGACCCCTACCACAGTACTCACCTCACCTTTCATCTACCTTTGTGTCTGTCTCTTTTACATATTTAAAACACTCTTCTGTTCACCCCCCCCCCTCACGACTTTTTTCGATCTGATGTTCCTCTCCCTCTGTGACGCCTGAAGTCAACTAAAGGGCTAATGATAACTATCATAAACCCTGCCATTTGGTATAAATAAATGTTTCCATTTGTTTCTTGAAGCGCGTGTCAACTAAAGATATGAGTCAATCTGTTTGCAAATAATCTTGGAAATCGTGATTGGTTCTCAAGTGCCTCCTAGTTTCACTTTCATTTGGAAAAGGATAACGAGAACTTCTCGCTTCGACGACATATGTTCTTTTTAACATTGCTCCTATTTAATTCCTCAAAATGAGGTAAGAAGTAAATAGACAATAGTGCAGTGGGCATGAGTTTATTAAATGACTAATAAATAAAGCTCGCAAGTGCTACATTGGTTAGAATGTATGTCTTTCATTTTAGAGATCACGAGATAGACTATTGGAAAATAGAGACAGTTCCAGAAGGCAATCGGCAATTAGTGTAGTGTAGCTAATATTATATTTTTTTCTAATGATTGCAACTTAGGTCGCTTTTTGGAGAAAGTTGATAGTTGCGTTCTATTCAGTGAGGAACTTGAAAAACTTGGAGACCTTTTTTACTGTACCTGTGAAACGTTCAATTAAGTTAGCAATAAGGAGAAGGGAACAAGCTGAGGTGGACGGAGGATCCCGAGATAAAGTAATCTTGGGCAGTGAAGAGCAATAACTCTGTGAGCCCCGGTGACGATGCACCTCTCTGCTGCAATGTGAAAAGGTGTGCGTCACTTGGCTGAACCTGTTTCTCGATTACCAAGGGAAATTCACGTAACTTGTGAAAAAAACGAATATGAAATAGCTGTGGCCTAGTCTGCAATCTCAACCTCATTAGATAAAGGAGTAATTGTTGGAGAAGCGAAAAACGCTCTCTAATTAATTTTGTAATCATTATTATTATTTCGAATGGCAGGCTTTGTGATATTTATCATTAGACCTTAAACTTTAACTTCAGCTTCCCCCAAGGGTGGAGGGGGGGGGGGTACATTCATGGCAGTTAATTAATAGCAGTTCATTAGCCGTCTTCGTGCCTCCCAGTATCCCTGGCTTTCCGTCGTTGTCTTTAGGGCTGGACACCGAATCAGGTGGGTCTTCTCCATTTCATCCTGTAGGTTACAGAGGGGGCATGTAGGTTGAGTGCACACTCCTAATCTGTGAAGGCGTTTCCCCAGGCAATCGTGTCCGGTACGTAGTCTAAACTCAGCAACGGCTTCGATTCTTGGCCAGTCGGCTATATCGAAGAGTGCCACTGTCCACTGTTTCTCCTTTGTTCGAGCTTTAAGTTCGTTGCACCTTGTGGTATTGAATTCTCTCCTGATTAAGGCCTTCATTGTGTGGAAAGACATCTGCCGGTCCATGCATTGCAAAATCGTTGTCCCCTTCTTAGCAAGTGTGTCGGCAAGCTCATTGCCTTTAATGCCACAGTGACCAGGAATCCATTGTAGGACCACTATTTTGTTTTTCTCTCTCAGCAGCTGATAGAGTTTTCTACATTCCTTTATCTCAGCTGTTTTGGGAGGCTCTCCACTTCCAATTGCGTTTATTGCTGACTGTGAGTCCGAAAGTATCATTGCTTTGGTGAATTTCGTATCTAGGCAACATAATTGGTCTTGTGCTATCCTAATGGCCTCTATTTCTCCTTCGAAAGCGGACCTATTGTGTCCTGCTGCTGCGTAGAAAGAGAAAAGTTCAGAATAGACACCTGCTTAGTTTTCTACGTATGACCCATCAGTGAAGACTTGGAGCCATTGATCTCCAGGATAGTTGACATTGATTTTCAAAATGATTTCCAGAAGAAGTCAAGCAGTTGGGTGCAACACACTACATCAGTGTCTGACGTCAAGCAGTTGGGTGCAACACACTACATCAGTGTCTGCTATGGGTTCGTGAGAAGAGGGAGGCTTTGGGTTTGTCATCAATTTGTAATTCTTTCTTCAGTTCTATGGCTTTCTGTATTAGACCAGATTGGTCTATTCCCATAGTTGCTGAAGAATTTGACCATAGGAATGCACAGTCGCTTCTCATAGAGGATCAAGGCCTTCTCTTTGATAAGGGAACATATTGTGGTGCTTCCCGTAACTAGGAGCATTTCATCAATGGGTGTTGATTTTATCCCTTCAGTAATGAGTCGTAATGCTTGGTTCTGTGCCTTCTCGAGGGGTTTGAGAGTCACCTCTGTGGCTGTAATGAGTGGCTCACAGCAATACATTATTGGCTGAATAAACATCTTGTAGGTGGTGTCGAGAGTTGAGCGTGCACAGCCCCATACGCTACCAGCAAGACGCTTCAGTACATTCAGTCTATTGGAGACTCGTTCTGCTATTTTAGCAATGTGACTTTTCCATGTTAGCTTTGTGTCAAATGTCATTCCGAGATATGTGAACTCACTGGTTTTTTCTAGGGTAGTATCCTTGTACCTTAGAAGGGGATTTATGCTGTGATGGCCAAACAAAATGTTTGGAATGCAGTTTTCGCGTTGTTGATTACCATTCCATTGTTGTCGCACCAGTTTGCTAGTAGTTTAAGTGCACAATTAAGGGCACTTTCCGTTATGTTATGCTTAATACCAATCTTTGCCCATTTTAGAATTAGCTTCGCTTTTCATACTAAGTCATATGCTGATTTGAAATCGACGAAATCAGCCGTAAGAGTATTTCTTGCATCAAGAGCATCTTTGATGTGTTGGGAGAAAGTGGCTACTTGTTGGTTAGTTGATCTTTGTGTCCTAAAACCTGCTTTTTCACTCCTAAGAATATTGTTGGTCTCAAGGAACCAGGTCAGCCTCCTGTTAACCATTCTTTCCACAAGTTTAGCCAGCACGCTTGTGAGGGAGATAGGCCTATAGTTGTCAAAGTTGCTAGGGTCTTTGCCCTTTTTTAGTACTGGTATTACTATGGCAACTTCCCATTGGTTAGGTACGAGACTGGTCTCCCAGATTTTGTTGAAAAGCGTCAGCATGGTTTCCTTGGCTTTTGGTCCCATTCTAATTAGAAATTCGGGATGAATACCGTCTTCGCCAGGAGACATTTTGTAATCATTTGTTTACTTAAAATTCACACAATTTGCAAATCTTTCTAAAAAGAATGACAGGTCCCTTAACCATTTAAGGCATTAGAAATTCATTATTTTAATCTTGTGAACATATTTCCAAACATATGCCTAACTCCTAACAAGTTGATCACCAATTCGAGCGCCTAAATTTTGATCTGGATAATGCATTGACGTCCCTTTACGAAACCAACTTTGCGATTATCCATTTCCATCTTCTGTCAATTTTAACACCAATCCACTTTCTACTCTCATGAATTTACTACTCGTGGGTTTGATATTATCTGATCATCGTATTTGAAAATCAATTAAATTTTGATTGTCTTTGGTAAGCTGTAAGTAGAAGGACCACCATACATAGGATATAGATCTGAAATGAAATGTCCCTATGAATATAATTAAATCGATGAGACAGCACAGATATATGCTTTCCACTTTCATAGAGGGGGTGGGGACATGTCGAAAGCTTTCAAACTCGTCAAAAGTTTCATGACTCTAATTTTTCATTCACATATGCTGTCCCCCTTATTAGCGCTATTTACTGACAATATACAATTAGCAGGCGGTTGAGCTATTCTTGGTTGGTTCTTATTAGCTACTCTAACAGGCCTAAATATTTCAGAGTTAACAAATTTTTACAAAGTTGTTTTCGGTGCAAAATTCCTAGATTCTGCCACTGAGGGCTTCAAATAAAATTGTGGCGATTGTAAAAATGTCGACCAGTTAACCTCATGACCATCGTGCAATTGCCCATCGCTTTAAAATATTTCATGCTCATAACTTTATTCCCATTCAGTACGAAAATTATACTTTTATGAAGGAGTCCTTCGAGCAAGTTACTAATTGGTAATCTGATTTTCGATACTCTGGTAAGTTACCAAACGATTATCTAACCGACTACCGTAGTTCATCCCCTATACCCAAGCTACAGCTACCGTTTCACAATCAAGGGCAAAGTGGGGTCTTCGTTTGAGCCACATACCCCCCCCCCCTTCAGTAACGAATGCATGAGCACGCAGTGACGATCTAAATCTGGCTAATAAAGGAGTGGCGAGCTTTAAATCTCATCATTCCAGGGAGAGGGGGGTTATAAGAGGAAATTTTCCCGTTAGTTATTTACTTTCATATGAAGCCTTCTATAGTTCACATAATCCCGGATAGCTAGCTTAAGTAGAGAACAATTCAAATAACCTTCATCGTCTAAATCCTGATGCTAGAGTTAACTGTCAGCTAAATCATATAGAACAATAATGATTAGTTGCTTGGCTTATGGTGCGTCAAATGAGGCAATAAGAAAAACGAAAGGCTCTCCCCAATAAGCACGCCGGTAGTTTTTATGTGTTGCATATACAGAGGATGGGAGAGGGGAGGAGAGAGACAACTGAAAGTCAACTGGTGGCGAAAGGTCAAGAAAAAAGAGCAGGTGGTTTTGAGGGAAAGGGGTGGGTAAATCGTAGCATGTACACACACCGAATAAGTGCGTGCAAATGATACTACTAGTCACCGGATCTTTAGCCAACAGACTACTCGGCGCCTGGAGTGATTTGAGGACGAGCCCACTCTACAAACTCATCGATCAGAACTGGCCAAGCACCTACAAACATAATTCATCAATGTATAAATCGCATTTCCAAATAGAGTACTAAAAGTGCTCTTTTTCGCTAAAATAGTAAGGTCATCCCATTGGCCAAAAATGACAATTCCGGAGTGGCTGCCAAGCAAAGAAAAGACCTACAAGTTTATATATTTTAGCTTAAAATCTATGGCTCTAGAGAGTTCATTTCGGAACTTCGAATCTTAAGACGTTGTACAAAAGAACAATTTTAAATTCGAAAACACCAAATTAAAGAAATGAACAAAAAAAAACTAATTTAGTCAAAAAACGATTTCGAGCGCACTGAATTTATGAATGATAAGTAATACTACTTAATTAAAAACAGCAGTACATTTATTGTTTATGATATTTTATATAACTGCAGAATTGTGCAATTGTTAGCTTAAGACCAAGGGTAGTGCATGGCAGTTAATGAGTAACTATTCCTATAAGATTTCAGGTACTCCAATCCCGCTGGCACACGCCCAGAGAGCGAAACAGAAAAACCGCACTGATCAAGTCGAGCCTACAGTAACAAAAATCGAGCCCGTCGCTAGAACCACATTTTTGCAGAGGCACGTGAAAAAGGGAGCTCAGAGGATTCTTTAAGGCTTGAAAAAAGTACTGCAACTCTTGAGATATCCACCAGGTTTTCTTGCGATAAATATTTTTTATCCAACAACTACGTGATACCAAGCTTTAGGAAGAAATGGCACAAAACCATGGCTAAAGCAAATTAAACAGACACAAAGCTCTGTCTTGTTGGTGTGGACAAAATATCAAGGTTGAAAATCAAACCATATTAAGAAGAAATAAAGCAAATTTGTAACATTGAGATGTTATACCAGCAAATATTCTCGCAAATTCACATAAAATAAGACAGTCTTATATCCTAGGAAGAATTATTGCACAAAAATTACCGAAATCCATCGACTTTAAACCTCCCCCCCCCCACACTTTGGCCGCAACTAATGAAATAAAACATACAAATTCTGATATAATCGAACTATATCAGTTTCACTTACTATGCCTTTAAGAAAGCCAATTTATACGGGAAACTGGATGTCTAGAAATAACGAGATGATTCCATTGAAGTGAGGAATCTAAGATTTAAAACTAAAGCACCTGTTTCCACGTCAAATAAAATAGACATAAAATGTAAGGAAAACTCATTTCCCCTTTCTAAAGTTAAAAAACTCATAGAATTGCTCCAACAGTTATTCAGAACAACTAGCTAATACCAATAATAATGAAATTCGAATGAAAAAGACATTTTAAAAGAGCTACTTGGGCGCAAAACGTAGAGTTGATCGTTGCGAAACACTTAAGAGTAAAAATTAAATCTCAATTCAAGCTATTTGCCCAGTCATAATCACTATTTCACTTAAGCAAACTACTGATAAATCAAGTTAAAAAATGAACACAACTGAGCTAGAGTGGAATGCAACTACGCGGCACAAAGCTACTATTGGAGGGAGGCGGGATTTGCTACCTACTTACTAAAACACAATAACTGCAGTTTGGTAGATAATTCTGATAGAAGACTCTTGGGGATTTTACAAATACTAATTCTTTCTTTAAAATTATTAAAAAGGTGCTTGATGTCGGCCTCTAAACGTACCTTCGATATCGTAGTCAGAGAAGTCGGGTGCAATAGTTTTGGCAAAAGCTAACAATAAATCCCATGTATCCTTTGAAATTGTTGTTTGATTCTTTTCCTACAGGGAAGAACTATATTCAAGACACACTAAAGGAAATTAATAAAAGGTCATTACTGATGAAAAGACTTGCCCGAAGAAATTTGAACCAGAGGTCTAGATGAACGAATCGTCCACGGAGGAGTAAATCCATATAGGCGATAGCATCATCCGTTCCTGAGAGGTAAAATAAAAAGGGAGAAATACAGGTAGGTTTCAATGCTGTATCTTTACAAAAGATTTTCTCATAGAAATGAGGAGACATAGATCAGATTCAAATTTTGAAGAAAGGTCGAATAACAGACGAAAGAAAAACCAAGTATAACGGTTAAAGGGTCAACTGTCGTCTTAACCTCGAATCCAGATGGATGCGATTTAAGCTGCGTAAAAAAGAAGAAAATTGAACCTGACAGTTTTTAAGATCATAGTTTAGCTTTTACTGTATATTACTAGGGAGGTCTGTTGATAGGAAACTGACATAGAAGAGAGGACAAGTTAAAAATGAAATTTCCAATACCTTGTTAGAAGTGCACAACCAGAGACGCATGAAGGGGAAAGTGAAAAATGGTAAAGCCAACGAGAGCATACTAAACTATTTCGAGTACCATTAAGAATGTTCAGCACCATAGGGACGTAGAAGCACTTCAAAATACGACACAAAACAGATCACTGACCAGATCAAGATGTAATTCCAACTAGCACAAAATTTTACTTAATCATGGTTTAAAATGCAAACAAAGACCAGTTTCAAATAGAAGATCAAGTAACTTACGAAGAGATTTTGCGTTGAATCTATCTACATTGGCAAAACCAAAAGTGAAAGTATAGAGGCTTTTAAATGCATCAGGTTTCTCGATTTCTGATTCTAGGGTGAGCAGACGCTTTTGAAGAGATTCAATAGAATCACATCTAGGAAGCAGAAATTCTCATAAGTGCGCCTCAAATGATGACTGAGGAATAGTTAAAATAAAACATACTCTAGCGTACGTAGACCATGGAAGAATTCATCTTTCGTAAATTCTCCTTGAGTACGGGCGCCAAATTTCCAGGCCAAAATAAGGACCAAACGACTTGCAGGATTGAGTTTAAGATCATTGACAATAAAACGTTCCATTCCAGTAACAAGTATACGATCAGGATGTTCACTGTCTGAAAAAGGGTTAAAACCAGAAACAATAAAAAACAAATTGGTCACCGCGATTTGAAACGAAAGAGAGAAAGCAAACCAACCACAATAACGACGATAAAGCTCTTCAATCTTATTATCATTGAGGATTTTCGAATATCTGTTATAGAAGAATTCAAGAGAAGGTTCGAGTTTCCAATTGTTGGCACCTAAACAAGCAATAGCTATCTTTTCATCCGTCTGAGATATCGAGAGAAACTTCCTAAGAATGCGGTCCCTTCCACCTTGTGGTCTGAACTACACAATTGAAGACAAAATAATGAAACCAAAAATATAAATTTCCACAAATAAAGAAAGTCGATGACATAAGTGAAAAACAAGTTATTAAGGCATAAAAGGATATAGAACTGCAAATAGTAAAAAAGAGACATATAAAAAGGTATCGAAAGGTTAAAGGAAAAAATTGGCTAAAGAAAAACCATATAGACCAAACTCCTACCATTTTGTCTCAGGAAGCACAAGCCCTTACCGGCATTTAACACATTCAAGAAATGGCCGGAAATCTTACCTTTTCCATAATAGAACCCAATATTCAATTTTCGCCAGTAGCATAGAAATTTTATAACAAGATGTACATACATAATAATTTCTGAGATAAATAATGATTTTAATATAAATATGTGAATTGTTATTTTTAAAAAATCTCGATGTTCTGTTTTTTATTGTTTTAGTAAGTTATCGCATATTATAAGAACAAATTTTCCTAATATAGATGAAATAACACTACTGTGTGACGGTCCATCAATGACCAAATAGAAATCCTGCTATAGAAAATCACTCAGAAATATTTAGTTATTAATTTTTACGCGAATTATGCTAGAGTTATCTGATAACTAATTGCTTTGCCAACATTACACTTCGCTATCAATATACGTACCGAATAAACGTATTCCGTGCTATACGTCTGTTTCCCTTATAGCTGGGCTATAGCTTAGCTTGTTCTGGGAGTTTAGCTAGATGTTGGAGAATCTGCCATAGAGATTTCTGAGTCGGTCAGGCTTTACTAGCGTAGCAATCCGCTACACTACTTACTACAAATTGCCGTTTAATCAGGAAAAAATATTTTGATAAGTTTGTTATCCCGCATGCATATTTGTTAATAATGCGTATTGTACCAGCTAAATGTAACTTTACGTCTATATTTTTAGAAAGTATAGAAGTAACTAATTAAAAGATACACTATGTTTAGCGTTCTATCTCCTGTTAATTAAGGAGCTAGTATAATTTCTTATATCAAATTATCCAGCTGATTTTAACGTTTATGTAAAACTATTGGGCAATAAATGTAAACTGATCTAGAAATTCCCTCCTTTGATAACATATATTTTGCATGCATTAGGATTGTTAATAATATTGGATTCGTATGATAGTGTACCGTAAGTACATTTGGCGATACTTTAAAGTAAAAAAATGTAAAGTAATCTATCTCTTCAGTATAAAATTATATTAAGTATTCACATTAGTTGAAAATTTATATTAGCAATTGTATGTTTTTCATGAAGTATATTTCGAACAAATTAAGAATAGAGTTTCGAAGACATATTCGCTTTTTAATGATCTCGATGGAGTTGAAGAATTTATTTAGATATTATAAAAATTTTATTCCATTGGCATTAACACAGAATCAAAATATTAAACTTAAGATGTGCATGCGTATTGTGCACTCAGAATGACTTTCCTCATGGGCGCTTATTCGGATGGGCGGACTTTCGGAAAACTCCGGTATTAGCTTTTAGGATTTCCCTTTATTTCTAGCATTCTGTCACTACAACATACTTCAATAATAAATTAAGGATAAGCTTGTATCAGCAATTCCACTCATTTCCACAACGAAGTCAACCTGTAGCTTTCGAATTTGATCATTTCACTCTTTTCTATCAAATTTCTTCTCGATGGATGTTCATACTTTTGGAAACAGCAATTCGCATTAATGACTGATTTAGCCGTGATAGTCTGATTAAAATAAAGACCTAGTTGGTACTTTGATCGATATGGCTTTGAAGCTTCTTTAGTCAAGATTTTCCACCTATTATTTTAATATCGGATGTGTAATCGAGTAACATCAGTATGTTATAAGATCTTTGCTTGCTGTAAGACGTAACCTTTTAATAACTAGGCAATTTGCGACCGCAACGGTGGAATACGCATGGAAGGCAATGAAAATCAACATGCCTTTAAATTTTTCATCTAACAGTTTACGCATCTTAGACTGCGGTTCCGAGGTTTCTCAAAATAAGGTTTTAAGGAAAAATTGGTATTCGTAAAGTTTGAATTTATCGAGATTTCCCCTTAAGAAATCTACTTTCATTTATCTTTTCGTAAACCTGAGCTAGTTACATATCCCTACTTTATCTTTCATTTGGTTGTCGTTGATCGGAATCATACCGCTGTCTTAGTTATTGATAAACTCTGTAACCATGTAAGTGCTTGTGTTTCCTAATGAAACAATCTTTGTATAAGTCATCAATATTCTTCCGTTGATTTCAACCTTTTATAGATGGTTAAGCAGAGACCCGAATAGTTTCAGTGAGTATATAGTGTTATATCAGAAGCTGCACGGTTTGCATTAGTTCCATTATTGAAAAGGACCAACATCGGCGACTCTGGTGGTTAAATTAAAAGACGCTACTTCTCTTATCTTGGTGCGCAAAAGACTTACCTCCAATGGATACACTCTGGGCTACGGATACTCATACGGTAACGAAGTCTATAAACTGACAATTAACGTCTGACTTTAGTCTGCCATGACCCAACTGTATATCATATTCGACCACTTCAACAGTACTCACCTTACCCTACTCTCTACCTTCGTGTCTGCCTTTTTTTAACATCTGTGAATCCCTATTCTGTTCCTTCTCTCGACTTCTGTGACTTTGATGCTCCTCCCCTCAGTGCGAAGCCCAAAGTCATCTAAAGCACTAGTGGTGGCTGTCATAAACCTGTCATTTGCTATAAATGTAACATTTTCTCTTAATACAAATTTTGTATAGTGAGGCTACTTTATTCTGTTGTAATTATGGGGTATCTATTTTCTCAGCTGATGTCGACAGAATAAGTTGACCCGCAGACCGGGAGAAATGAAGATATGACACTGTTGTAGTTACTCCAGGCCGCTTTATTCACTCATTCAACAAAGGCAACCTGTATGACTATAATTTTTCATCATATTACTGGGGTTAAGTACCGAAACACCACCAGATTGAAAATAGTTCATGTCCCGAGAACTTTCAAGAACAATGTTAGCCCAAATATCATAACGATGACATGAAGATAGCCTGTGAATATTTAAAGTTTAAAAACCATGATCTCTCTGTGACTTTAAATTCCGTCTGTCGGGTTCTTATTACAAAGTGAATGGACTAGATAACAATTGAGAGAAAGAAGACGTCTCGGAGGATACCAATTTGATGGACATTCATCTAACAAATCATTTTTTTGCATTTTCCTAAAGTTGGCATTAAGCAAATTTTTTCCGTACTAGTTCAAATTGTTGTTTATTTAAATATATATCGAAATTTAACACAAATATTTCAATACTCCATCAGCTTAATGAAATATTAATATAATTTTCATGAAGTGGACTTTCAAGGCTTTGCGTTTGAGACAGAAATTCTTTCCACTTCCAGTTTCCACACAGCACGTTAATTTATAAAGCTACTGAATCACGCCTCAATCACACACGTATTAGCCAATTATCAACGGAAAAGTAATTGTGAAGATTCATGTGTTGCCAATTTCAGCTCACTTGTGACTACACTCCCTCCACCCCCCTTAATTCACGATTGAGACAGTGTACTGAATGGTCCTGATCGTGTAAAAGGGGCGAGAAGAAGTCGAAAGCTACTACTAGGACAGCCCAATTGGTACAAAAGCGGTACACAAAAGTGGACAACTTTTGTCTTTTTTTGGCGAAACGTGATGAATATCAACGGGAAAAACATTGGTGGAGTGGGAAATGATGGGAAGGACAAATAATGCTGAAATGTTACATATGAATAGATTTGTCTTAATCCTCCGAGGTGGTCCTGACTAAATAAATGCTGAGGTTGAAACTGTTCGTATTTTAATGTGGAGGTTTGTAATTTTTGATCCAGAAAGCTTAATTTACTCAACATTACACTAGGTGTAGAATAAATGTCACCGAAGGAAAAGTTTTGCATATGAAGTGCTCTTACAATGATATAGATTAGGAAATAAGAAAGCGCTCTGTAGAACTATTTTCATCAATAAGGAACCAAGAAAATGTGCTACCACTTGAACTGTTCTTAATTTGAAAATTGTCTTATGATATACAAAGTCTTTAATAATTATAAGATAATAGGAAAGATTGTTCCCCCCCCCCACTCCTGGAAATGCAGCCAACTCTACGTTATGTTATATTTGTGGATGTTACTCGAAATTCGCTACCAATTCTGGAAATTGCTCAGACATTGTTGCTATATTCTTCCAACCCCCCCCACCCCCACCCCCACCCCCAACAGTCTCCCCATCAGGCATTTACTGTTAGAATTCAGTTAATCTAAACCTGTATTTTTTATTCTGTTTTAATTATGATTTCATTAATTAAATTTATTGTTTCTCTAGATAAATTTCCTTACTGAAACCTAATCTGAACATATGCCTGAACAAATCTGATCGTTTTGATAACTGAACGTATATAACAAGATTTTAAATCGGAGTGGGAGAAAGTGATTGATGATAAAGCATGAATATTTTTACTGGATCAATTTGCTTTATTCAAGAAAAACCTTTTCCGAAGAGCTCAGAATATTCACAATTTTGTCGAGAGATTTGTGTACTCAACGAGATTTTTGGATGCGGTTTCCTCATGCCAATGGCTCAGGCAACATGGCTACTAGAAAACCACAATTGAAGTGGTAAGAAAATATTCACTAGTATGAGTGTGTAATCTTCTTTCTCCAAGTGAGTTTTCATTTGATAGCTTAAATAGTTTAAAATATTCCACGTATGATCCAGAATAAGACGTTTGAACTGTCTCTAAATAGCCCCCTTTTCCACAAAGATAGGGGTAGGGGCTGCAACCAATTCACAAAAGCCAGTTCATTTTCATGGGTCCGCTTTCGTCTGTTACTAAATTGCTGTGCCTAGTAATACAAATTTTCTTACGCTCAAAACTGTTATGCATTCGAATACTTGACTTCAAAGCCAATTTCAAAGAAATTATGACCACCAAATGCCCTATATCAGGAATGCCCAACATTTTAAAACTTAAAACTTCGTAATTTTGCTTGTCAGGTAGTTGTAAAATTGAGAAGTTTGGTCTGCTTTTCCTTCCACTATGAACTTTACTTCACTCATTTCGTATAAGAAACCTATGTTAAATCAGGAATCCGAAATCGATTGAATGAGGAATATGCGGACAGCTTGCATAATGGACACACTTGATGACTGTCAATGAGACTGTAGATTTTCTATCGTTGATCAGTGGTTATTTCTTTTCTGTGCTTTCAAATTCGTTAGTCTGACTTTACCCTTGGAAATAACTCCCTCTGACTT